CTCCTCCTCCTCCTCCTCCTCCTCTTCAATCTCTGTTTCTGCACCGTCAGAGAACAATGGCAGACCTACTCGCAAAACTCAACCTCCAGCCTATCTCTCGGATTACCATTGCAATATGTTGGCTCATGGTTCACCTTTACCTCCAACGACCTCTACACCTTATCCCCTTTCTTCTTTTTTGTCCTATACCAGCTTTTCACCTGAATACAGAGCCTTTTCTCTATCTATCAGCACTGTTACCGAACCCACATCTTATACTCAGGCTGCGAAAAGCGATCAGTGGCGGGATGCGATGAAACTTGAACTTGGTGCCTTATCTCGCACATATACATGGACTATATGTTCTCTTCCTCCTAACAAGCATTCCATCGGTTGCCGCTGGGTTTTCAAGACGAAATTCAGTCCGGATGGTTCGGTGGAGCGTCACAAAGCCAGATTGGTGGCTAAGGGCTATACACAGATTGAGGGCATCGATTTTTTCGATACCTTTAGTCCTGTTGCAAAAATGCCCACGATTCGGATTATATTAGCTCTTGCGGCTGCCAACAACTGGGTCCTTGATCAGATGGACATCTCTAACGCTTTTTTGAACGGAGACCTTGACGAAGAAATCTATATGTCGCTTCCTCCAGGTTACTGTGCTCTTCAGGGGGAGATTGTGGCTCCGAATTCTGTCTGCAAGCTGAATCGATCGATTTATGGTCTCAAGCAGGCCTCTCGGCAATGGAATACCAAGCTTGCCCAGGTTCTGTTTTCGTCAGGTTTTGTTCAATCAGTTTCGGACAATTCTCTCTTCACTAAGCGGCAGGGTTCTCATTTCGTGGTCATTCTCATCTATGTAGATGACCTTCTTATCACCGGGAATGATACGAAACTTGTGCAGGATTTAAAATCCACATTATCAGCGAATTTCCAGCTCAAAGATCTTGGTTCACTTCGCTATTTTTTGGGTTTGGAAATTGCTCGATCGGCTAAGGGAATCCATATCTGTCAGCGCAAGTATACTCTAGAACTTCTTGATGAATTTGGAATGTTAGGCTGTAAACCATTAGCTACACCTATGGAATTCGGTTCTAAACTTGGCAATGACTCCGGTGATGTTTTGTCAGATGTGTCTCACTATCGCCGACTTCTTGGGAAACTTATTTATCTCTCCTTGACGCGACCGGATCTTAGTTTTCCAGTAACTAAGCTTAGCCAGTATATGTCTCAGCCACGTACAGCTCACTTACAGGCGGCTTATCGAGTTCTACGATATCTGAAAAATGACCCGGCTCAAGGTTTGTTCTATTCGTCAAAATCTGATCTTCGTCTGAGAGCCTATACTAATGCGGATTGGGCTTCGTGTCCAGATTCAAGGCGGTCTGTCACTGGTTTCTGCGTGTTTTTGGGTAATTCTTTGATCTCTTGGAAATCGAAGAAGCAACCTACTATATCCCGGAGTTCGGCTGAATCGGAGTACCGTGCCATGACTCAAACCACGTGTGAGATCGTTTGGGTGGATGCCTTGCTTCGTGAGCTGCATATCTGTTCCTCAAGACCGATTACTCTGTTTTGTGATAATCGTTCTGCAGTCCACATTGCCAATAATCCGGTTTTTCACGAACGGACAAAACATATTGAGCTCGACTGTCATTTCGTCCGTGATCGCCTCAATTCGGGTTTTCTGCTGCCTCTACATGTTTCTTCGACAGATCAAATAGCGGATATCCTTACCAAGCCGGTTTCCGTCGAATGCTTTCGCAGGATGCTGTCCAAGATGGGGATTTCTTCCTTACATTCCCCATCTTGAGGGGGAGTGTTAGAGATACATATCTTGCTGAATATTTTTCTGTTGCAACTATATTATTTAGTTCTATCTCTTTCTCCTTCTTTCCAGATGAGTTTGTTCCATCTGTTTTGTATATATGAACGTGCTACTCGATAGCTTAATAACACACAGAGAATTCTTTTCCTTTCTCACATTTGTTAAGTTAATAAATTTATAAATAAATTATATGCTTGATTTTTACTGTTATTGTACAAACACATTCTTAAACAAGTTAAAAAAAATATGTAAATAGTTGTAAAAGGTGTCTTGATGATCATATTTAAATATATTAGAAATTTCACTAACTTCTCATGTCTCTTTATATATAATAATTAGGTAGATAGACGATCTTGGAGATGAGTTGTAGATTATAATATTAGGATAGGATTTGAAAAGAAATTCACCACAAAAAAATCTTTTTTTTTTAAGTTTAGCAAATAATCAACAAAGAAAGAAGAATGATTTTGAAAGATTGTAATTGTATGAACACATTCTTAAACAAGTTTGAGAATTTTTACAGAATTGTAAAAAAGTGTTTTGCTATTTTTTAAATAGTTGAGAAATTTTCATTAATCTCTTTGCGATAATTAGGTCTATTAATGTTCTTGCAAATGTGTATTATAATTAGGGGTGTCAAAACGAGCACGGCTCGTGAGCTGGCTCGTGGCTCGCCAGAAAACGAGCGATCTGAGCCGTAATTTTTTCAGATCGTTAAAAAACGAGCCTAACGAGCCAGAGCTCATTGAACACGTGTTCAATGAGTCTGGCTCGGCGAGCTGGCGAGCTGCTCAACGAGCTGATATTTTTTTAAAAATAAATTAAATTTATATAAAAAAACTCTAATATAATTTTATATTAATTTTTTTCATATTATTTATATGATATTATAAATATACTAATTATTATGATGGTGATAATTGAAAATATTAAATGATATAGGTGTTTTAATAAATTTTTATGTATTTATTTAAATTTATAATTATATTTAAAATAAATATAAATAAAAAATATTATATATCCTTGGCTCAACGAGCCGGCTCGTTCAGATCGGAAAATTGGCGAGCGATGTGAGCCGAGGTTTTTCTGGCTCGTTAGAAAACGAGCCTAACGAGCTGAGTCCAAAACGATCCGAGCCAAATGAGCCGAGCCCAAAATGATCCGAGCTGGCTCGTTTGACACCCCTAATTATAATGACAAGGTAGAATTTCAAAACATCCCCACCGCAGAGCCTTGGATGCATGTTCATTGGTTGCATTTGATGATCTGGTCGATGATGATCATGAATGCAAAAACGTGGTCAAGCAGCAAAGATACCGACTCGCAAACCCTTTGGCACAAATAAATAACCGAGCCTAAACCGTAAACCGGGTGAAATTGAGATTGAACCGGAATCAGGAAGTGTCATCTCCATCCGAAGTCCCATTATGCATATATAGTGTGTGGAAAGTCGCCACTTGTCACTTGGAAAGGAAACTTTTTGTACCTAGTGGTCAATTTTTTATACCAAAAATAGCAATTTTATTGAATTTTTGTGCTTTTTAGACGTCTGAATTTAAATAATATCATGGTGGGTAATCAACAAAACAGAAGGAAAACGTGCAGCAGGAGGGAAAGTTGGTGAAAGAAATGAAAATTTAGAAGCAATTTTAATTATTTTCGTTCACTTATTATTAAAGCCATGATTATTTTAGGCATCTAAGTTGCTCCACTGGACCGGTGGGTCAAAAAATCATGTAAAAAAATATTTTTTTAACATAATAATTAAATTTTAATTATTTTAGGCATCTAAGTTGCACCACTGGACAGTTGTAGATGTTTTATCATTTTCAAAATACAATATTTTTTATTATTTATATATAAAAAACGAAAATAATTTTCAAATATTATGTGAATCAAATTTTAATTATCTATAAATCTAAATAAAATTCTTTTTTTTTCTGCGAAAATCCAAAAAAAATCTATAACTATATTAATTTATCCATTTTTCTATGATGTAAATATATCATCATAATTGTTATCAAAATAATTAAATTTTATTTTTTTTATTATAAAATCTTAGTAATATGTGACAGACAAAAACTCACATACCCTGCAGCCGCCAACGCTAACACGTTCTCGTTCGCGCTAACAATTTCTCCGACTGAGCGGCCATGGAGTCCTTCCGGTTCACGACGGCAGCTCCGCCGCAGCCCCTCCGCCGCCAAATGTCACCTCCTCGGCCACTGCACACGGCTCTGCCACCTGGTTCCGGCTTCCTCCGGCAAAAGGCGGTCGCGGGAGCCACCCTTTCCTTCCGGTCAGCGGCCAACGTCTCGCCGGCGTCCATTTTATCCGTAGAGGAAATATCTCTGGCTCCCCCGGCTATGAAGGCTCCTCCGCCGCCGCCACCTCGCCCCAGGGTCTCACCGAGTTCCCTACAATACCCTGCCGGTTTCCTCGGCGCGGTGCCGGGGCATTCGGACGACGACGGGAACGGTAGTATCATCGAGGCGATGGAGTATTTGACGAATATACTGTCGACGAAGGTCTACGATGTCGCGATTGAGTCGCCGATGCAACTGGCTAAGAAGCTGTCGGAGAGGTTAGGGGTTCGGCTCTTCCTCAAGAGAGAAGATCTGCAGCCGGTAGGGTTCTCTCCTTCGAATCTTCGGTTTTTTTGTATTTCATTTCAGGGAATATTCGGATCCTGATCCACTCCATTTCAGCTTGATCGCAATGTTTATGCATTTGTTCGTTGAATTTCTGTGTATACGAGGATCATAGTGATCGAAATGTGATAAAAAATGCAGCTGCATATGACAGTTTCTGTACAAGAAATTTTTTTGTAGTATTGGGACTAATCTATCTGAGCTAAAGTTTGGTGCTTGAGAAGGGAAAGCCCTTGATGTTTTGCTTTGTGTCTTATTCTGAATGGTAACTAAAGGTTATGGTTACTTGATTCTTCAGGTTTTTTCATTCAAGCTTCGTGGAGCTTTCAATATGATGGTGAAACTTTCAAAGGAGCAATTGGAAAAAGGGGTCATCTGCTCGTCGGCCGGAAACCACGCCCAAGGAGTTGCTTTATCCGCAAGCAAACTCGGGTGCAATGCCGTTATTGCCATGCCTGTCACCACACCGGAGATTAAGGTACTCCTTATCATATATACCTACAAGCATTTAAGCGTCTGCTTTTGTAGAACATTCCTATATCTTGTAGGCGGGTTACTGGTCTTAAGCTTCTTGCATGATTTTTTGTGATAAACAGTGGCAATCTGTAAAGAATTTGGGTGCAACAGTTGTTCTTGTTGGCGATTCATATGATGAGGCACAAGCATATGCTAAGAAACGAGCTGAAGAAGAGGGTCTGACGTTTATACCACCGTTTGATCACCCGGATGTTATCACTGGACAAGGGACTATCGGGATGGAAATCATGCGTCAGGCTAAGGGTCCTTTGCATGCAATCTTTGTTCCTGTTGGAGGTGGTGGCCTCATAGCAGGTATTGCTGCTTATGTGAAGAGGGTTTCTCCCGAGGTATGCTTGCTCTATGGCTATGGTGATTGCTTCAGTTATATTTCTGTGTGATTGCGGTTAGATGGCTCGTCATTTCTTATCCCTGGTTTTTGTAATTTGTTTTCTGATCTCATTGCAGAATATATTCTCTGTTTGGTAGTATCTGTCAAACCGCTTATACTTGCATTATCCATGTTTAACAATCTGCCCATTTCTCCCGAGGTATCTTGCATCTTATAGTGACTTCTGATTTTACAGGTCAAGATCATTGGTGTAGAACCAGCTGATGCAAATGCAATGGCTTTGTCGCTGCATCGTGATGAGAGGGTAATATTGGATCAGGTTGGCGGTTTTGCAGATGGTGTAGCGGTGAAAGAGGTCGGTGAAGAGACTTTCCGCTTGTGCAGAAAGCTTGTCGATGGTGTTGTTCTTGTTAGCCGTGATGCTATCTGTGCATCAATAAAGGTAAGGCATTTCTTCACTGCCCGTTTTTATGCATTGGCAGTGGAATTTTTATTTTTTACAAAATCTCGGTAAATAATCGTTAAGCTTTTTTCTTACAGGACATGTTTGAGGAGAAAAGGAGCATTTTAGAACCAGCAGGTGCTCTTGCACTTGCTGGAGCTGAAGCTTACTGTAAATATTACGGCCTTAAGGACATAAATATTGTGGCCATAACCAGTGGAGCAAACATGAACTTTGACAAGCTAAGGGTAGTGACAGAACTTGCAAATGTCGGTAGGCAGCAAGAAGCTGTTCTTGCTACCGTCATGCCAGAAAAACCCGGAAGTTTCAAACAATTCTGTGAACTGGTAAATTTGATCCTGTTAAGAAAATGGTGTGGTGATTCATTGTCTTATATCTAAAGCATTGGTCGATGCAGGTAGAACCAATGAATATAACGGAGTTCAAGTATAGATGTAGCTCGGAAAAGGAAGCTGTTGTTCTTTACAGGTAAAGCCCTGACAAATTTGTTGATTACCGTTTTATCGTTTTGCTCAATCTTCTCATCGGATTCTTTTTCTCCAGTGTCGGTGTTCACACAGCAGAAGAACTCGAAGCAATGCGGAATAGAATGGAGTCTTCTCAACTCAGAACTTACAATCTCACGTCTAGTGACTTGGTGAAAGATCATCTGCGTTACTTGGTATGAATCTATCTGTCCATTTTCTCCTTTCTTCATCAATGGATATAAGTAAAGATCATCTCATCAGATAGAATCCAACTTGAAGATCACTGCTTTATATCTTTTAGAAGTGTTCTTAATCAGTGCTAAAGATAATCTGGGCATGAATTCTTCTTAATCAGATGGGTGGAAGATCAACTGTTCAAGACGAGGTTCTGTGCCGCTTCATCTTCCCCGAGAGACCTGGTGCTCTGATGATGTTCTTGGACGCCTTCAGTCCACGTTGGAACATTAGCATCTTCCATTACCGAGCTCAGGTTTTTGCCTAATTCACATTAATCTCTAAATTCAGATCCCTGATCACAAAATCCAGTCTTTTGATCTTGAATTCTTCCTTCCAAACAGGGCGAGACAGGTGCAAACGTGCTAGTCGGGATTCAAGTTCTGGAACACGAAATGGAGGAATTCCGTATCAAGGCCAACACTCTTGGCTACGAGTACGATCTTGTTAGCGAAGACGGGAATTTTAAGCTTCTGATGCAATGATTTAAGCTTTCAGGAAGAAACAGAAGATCTTTCTTGCACGTCCTTCAAGAAACAGAGCTTGAGAACTGTTCTTGAGCTGTCTCTGTCTCAAATTCAATATGTTGTGTTGCTTACAAGTCTTTGGTTTCATTCTCTGGGTTGGGGGGGGGGGCGTTTCTTCTTGGTAGATGGCTGATTCCGTATCTATATATAAATAAGTAGACTTTGGACCTTAATTGGGGTGGGGGGGGGGGGCGTTTCTTCTTGGTAGATGGCTGATTCCGTATCTATATATAAATAAGTAGACTTTGGACCTTAATTTAATGTATTAACCAAAAATATAGTTTATGTTTGTATTTTAGGCTATGTTGTGTAATTATTAAAGGTTGGAGCATGTATGTACTGTCTTTGATAGAATCAATAATATATGCCGTTATTGTAATTTCTGTAAAAATATAGGGTGCTTTCTAGAAAATTTGTCCCTTGGGCATGGCATTGTTGTTTCGAAAGGATGGTATATCCGTCAATTTGATGTCAACAACGTTTTTTTCCAAGGTTCTTTGATGCAAGATGTTTATCTTGCACAACCCCTAGAATTTATTGATTGAGACAATCCGATCGTTGTATGCAAATTTCACAAGACACTCTACGGTCTCATACAAGCATCACGTGCATGGTGCAACGAGTTGGGTCGGTTTCTTGTCCAATGCGGGTTTGCCAACTCTCTCTTAGACACTTCCTTATTTATCAACAATCGAGATAATGTTATCATCTACATCCTCATCTATGTGGATGATATCATTATCACCGGAAATAATAAGGACTCGGTTCAAACGTTTGTTGCTAGGTTGGCTCAGCGGTTCTCGGTTAAAGACCTTGGTGACTTATCATTTTTTCTCAATGAGAGCCTCTACAAAGACTACATTGTTTTTTTATACATAAATCATTTATGTTGCCTAGTCTGTCTAATGAGTAACCCATGACTAACCCATATATAGAAGAGTCAGAAATCAGGATCTAAAACTCTGTGATCACCAAGCTAATGGTTTTGTTTTCCCTAACGAGAACGCTCATAGGCATCGCCTCCATATACGATAAGATCAGAAATAGTCAAGCCTACGCATTTATTACTGGCATCTAATCCTAGCAACGGCTTTTGGACTGAAGTTTTTGTCATCAAATGCTAAAGAATCAAGCTCTATCAGAAAACTACAGGTGAAGCTTGATTCTTGCCTAAAACTTCTATTTACTTGGCATCGGTCATTATATTCTTCTTGACAAAATCTAGATATCCTTAGAGTATACCAACTACAACATACTTATCCAACATTCTCTTCAAGTCAACTGGTGGTATAGTTAGTGGCCCCAACAACATTTGCACGACCTTGTTGATAGTCGCTCGTTTCACATCCTCGAGTTTTCTAGTTTTATGAAGATCCTCAATGAAAGTCTCTACAAGTACTCCATTTTTTTTATATGCACAAATCATTTATGATGCCTAGTCTGTCTAATGGGTACCCCACGACTAAGCCAGATATAAAAGAGTCAGAAATCAGGATCTGAAACTCTATGACCACCAAGCCAATGGTTTTGTTTTTCCTGACAATAACGCTCATAGTATCGCCTCCGTATTCGATAGATCAGAAACAGTCAAGCCTACGTATTTACTACCGACATCTTCTTGTCGTCGCCATGGTTGCCGTCAACGCATCCTCCAAAATCACTGACCTACCCACCGACACGATTACCCCCTATAGCTCCGACAGTCCGTTGATTAATATCAACGTCACTAACGTGGCAAAACTTACAGCCATAAACTATCTGACTTTGAGTATTCAAATTTGTGCTCTTCTCCAAGAATATGGTCTTGACGGCTTCCTCGACCCGACACAAAATCATGTGGTCTCAATCACCGCCAACAATGTCTCCTATCCGAATCCGGCATACAAGTTGTGGACTTGTGGTTCCGTCAAGACCGTCGAATGCCAAGCTTTTGTGGCATCCGCCACAATCTCCGCCCC